AGTATTGTGACTTCATTTTTTTTTTTAAAGATTTTATTTATTTATTGCGAAAGCATGAGTAGGGTGAGAGACAGAGGGAGAAGCAGATTCCCCACTGAGCAGGGAGCCGGATGTGGGGTTCGATCTCAGGACTCCAGGATCATGACCTGAGCTGAAGGTAGACGCTTAACTGACAGAGCCACCCAGGCACACCTTGCGGATTCATGTTAAAGAGGAAGGAGCTCAGACAGGGCAGGGACACATGCAAGTTACTGGCTGACAAAGAGTGCTGGCCAAATGTATTCCTATACCAAGAGACTGACCTGGACTTGAACAAATGTTTGGAGTTTAGAGGACTGGAGTGGTGAAGGACATTTTCTCCAAGATGGAGTGTGTCTCTTGGATTCTGAAGACGGAACCAGATTCAGATAAGCAGAGAATGTGAGAGAGAGCTGGAAGTGGGGCAGGAAAGGCTACACAAAAATCCTGTGGGCTTATACCAGCATGCTGGCTGGATTGACTAACTGTGCAAGCCGGAAGTGGCAGGGGCAGTGAGAAAGTAGATCAGGGCAGATCAGAAAAGGCCTTGAGTACTAAGCAAAGGAGGGGAGAATCCGAAGGAACAAACTTCACAGAAATGAGCTGGGCATGTCTTAATGTTTCTGGATCTCTAGCTGGGGCCAAACGTTTGATAAGACTGGCTTGGCCTTTAATTTCTTCAAGCTATAGTTATACTGAATTACATAACATGTTTAATCAAGGCCACTGGAAAATTACACAAAGCGTTTGCTTCATATGGCATGGGAAAACTTAAAAGCCTTGCAGAAAAATGCCAGTGTCCCTACCTCCCTCCCTCTCTTCTCTCTGCACTTTTGAGTTAGTGGACACTATGGAGTTGTACTGCCTTATCACTGAGGAAATGGAGCCGGCAATGAGTCCAAGGTGTGGACTTGCAAGGTAACAATCGAGCTTCATGCTGCTACAAACTGTTCATTTCAGTTCCAGGGGCCCTGGGGTTCCAGACCTGGTTCTAGGGAGTTTCACCATAAGTGTCTTTGCTGCAGCATTTTTGTCGTAAACATTTTTTGCCAAATAACTAATTGGCCATAATGCATTTTTGCCGTAAAAGAAGAAAAAAATAACTGGTTAATAGTTTGGTTTGACCACTTGGTTTCATCAGCCAGCTGACAATTTGGCTTCATTTCTCTGTTGACACAATACTCCCATTTTTCTGTAAATCTTAGCCATCATAATGATGTATATGGTGACAGAGAGTTTTGAACGCACATTCCCCACAGAATTTTGGAACATTCATCAATGAGCATGTGACAATATGCCAAGAACAAACAACAGAGTTAGAAGGCTTTCACAACGCTGTCCAAAGGTCAGTTACAAATATACATCTTAATACTGGAAACTGATACTTCTCTTAATGAGGGAAGACATTTTAGTGAAAAAAAAAATGTGATGCCAAACGAAGAGACGAATCAGCAAGAAAAACAATGTGTAATACTATGAACGAAAGACATTGAAGACAAACGCTTGCGTACAATCCACAAAATACAATTGGATATTTGAGCGGTATTGCCATGAAACTACACACATTTTAAATGTGCTCAAATATTTTGTATTTTGCAAGAAAGTCTTTTTGTTATTCATGTTTCATTATGTCCTTTTTAATGAATATCTCTCTTTTATTTTTCGTGATTTTATCTTTTATGGCAAAACTGCCTTTTGGCCAATTAGTTACGTGACAAAAATGTTTGCTGCGGAAATACTCGTGACAAAGATGTTCACAACGAAGATCATGGATGTACCCGGGATCCAGAGCCGTCCACTAGGTTGAGCTTCCAACTGTGGGTGTGAGCCTTGCCACAGCTCCTTGCCAATATGTTTGTTTTTCCACCCGTGGTACAGAGGATCCTAACGGTTCTGCTCCCTCTGCTCACACAAGCACGGTGATGAATAAGGCACTGTTTGCTGAGGCCAATGGGAACCTGGACATCACACAAGCACCTTAGTTATGACTCCTGGTAGAACCCAGATGGTGGTGGTGTTTCTCTATTTGCTCTGTTATAAAGCAGAATCTCATTCCACACCCGGGCCCTTCTCTGTCTATGACAGTGAGGCCAGGATATTGGGGATGGAGGTGGGTGGATATTGGGTCACATGGTAGGTGTTATGGACGATATAAAGCCCCTGGGACTGTGTCTTGCTTTGTGTTGGCATTTCTTATTTTGTTGGCTGTGTTTTCTGGACATTTGGAAAGTTGAAACAATGTATGTAACTTGGGGATCTCACCGGTTCCTACGGAAAGTATACAAATGTTGCTGTCATTAAAAGTTGGAAGGTGAAGACGCCGGTATTCATCTCTTCATTTGGTATATAATGCTTTGTATTTCTTTTTCATTCTTTTTGGGAAAAGATATTTTTTAAAGGAGAAAAGACATAAGTTCCTCCTTAAACTACACAAAATATGTATTAAAGTTCCTCTGTAGCTGTTGTAGAATATTCTCTTATTTGTTTGGAGGCTCAGAAGAGTAGTATCTGTGTACACGGTATTAATCATGGGTCCTGTGGGACTTGGAAAGGAGGGGCTGACTCCTCTGAAAATCCTCCACGTATTTTCCAAATGCAGACTTGAAAACCTTTGCTTGAGCAAGCCAGCCTTCTTGTTTTCCTGTCCTCTATCAAGATTCAAACTAAGTTGGCCACCCACTGATATGGATCTGTAAATAGACTAAATCCTCCCTTTGAACACACTGGTCCCTAACTTGCTATCTTATGAAAATGTTTGGGGGATGACAACATCACAGGGCTCAGCAGAGACTAGTGTATCTGCCCTTTGCTAAGGAGACCTGGAAGACTGTGGGTCTCTTGGCGAGGGAAGGGGATGCTGGGGAACTACAGACCACAAAATATGCCTGAACAGAATCTAGGCTCCCTGATGCCTTCTTATCACTGCCTGCGTGTGTTGTTTGTGTTATACGTGGTATGTGTTGTGTGGTGTGTATGGTGTGTGATGTATGGGGTACGTGTCTGTGTGTGTGTTATGTGTGTGGTATACGTGTGTTGTATGTATGGTATCTGTGTTGTGTGTGTGTGGTGTGGTATGTGTCTCTTTGTGTGTGGCATGTGTGTTGCGCATGTGGTATGTGTGTTGCATGTGTGGTGTGTGCTGCATGTGTGGTATGTGTGTTGCGTGTGTGTTGTGTGGTGTATGTGTTATACGTGTGGTGTGTGTTTTGTATGTGGGGTGTGTGTATTGTATGTGTGGTGTGTGTATGTGTGGTATGTGTGTTGTGTGTGTGTTGTGTGTATTGTATGTGGGGTGTGTGTGTTGCATGTAGGGGGGTGTTGTATGTGGGGTGTGTGTGTGTGTGTCAGTAGTAGAGGATGCTATTTCTGCAGAGATTTATATTTCTAGTCAGCTTTGTGCCTTGTGGTGGGAAGAAGTGTGGAGAACAGAGTTTTTAAATGTTTTCTTAATTGTATTTATTTATTAGAGAGAAGAGGGAGAAACAGACACCCCACCAAGCAGGGAGTCTGACGTGGGGCTCAATCCCAGGATCCTGAGGTCATGACCTGAGCTGAAGACAGACGCTTAACCAACTGAGCCACCCAGGTGCCCCTAGTTTTTAAATTTTTTAAAATGGAACTATAATCTGATATCTAACACTATATTAGTTTCAGGAGCACAACATAATCATTTGCTACTGTATATATTGTAAAATGATCATTGCGGTAAGTCTAGTTAACATCCATCATCACTCATAGTTAAAAAATTCTCTTTTCTTGTGATGGGAACTTTGAAGATCAACTCTCTTAGCAACCATTAAATATAAAACACAGCATTGTTAGCTGCAGTCACAGTGTTGCTCATTACATTCTTATGACTTATTTTTTCACATTATTTTTAACTGCCACATTACTAAAGCCCAATTTTTCATTCTGCTCTCTTCACATACCTTTCAGTGTTCCCTATTTTCTTGTTTCTCTATTTCACTGTTTTCTTTAAATAAATCCTTTCTGCTCCTACCTCTTTTAACTTTTCTCCCACTATCCCTTTTTCTCTCTTCCCTAATTTTTATTTTTCTCTATTTCTCCTAATTCTACTAAACTTCCTCCCCTCCTCCCATTTCTCTCTTACTCCTCTCCCTGGAAGCTGATGGTCCCAGAACTTGAACTTGACCCAGAGCACAGCCAGAAGCATGGGTTGTACTGTATATCATGTTTCTTTAAAATAAAGCCTGCCAGCATGACAGCCTTGAGGGGTTGGCTATGGCGCATGTGCCCAAGCCTCTGCTTTTGTTCTGAATGCCGAATTCACGTTGTGGTTTTAATCGCCGCTCATCAAACTGAGGTGGCTGTCTTTCGAGTTGTTGGTGAGTCGCTTGGACCAAAACCACAAGAGTGTGACAAGGAGTTGGGGAGGAGGTTGAGCTGGAGAAATAAGCAAACGGTTGTCTTCCTTCTACAGTGTGGGATGACCTGCATTCTGTTGACCTACTGGGTACAAAAGGGATCCCCAGAGTTTCTAAATTTGAAATAAAGCTTTAGAAATAATTTGCAAAAGATGTCACAGCTGCAGAAAACTGATAAAGTAGCCGGGTGGGGGGTAAGGGAGTCTGGAGAAAAGAGAAGACTGAAGTTAGGAACCATCTGAACGTTTTTTCTCTATGCAACCTTGAGCACCTCTGAACCCCGCACTGGTTGTTATTTTCTGTCTGCCTTCCCATCGTGTCTGTGTCCCAGCATCACGGGACTTCTGCACAGTGGTTAAGGTTCTAGGGCGAGGCTAGGTTTGAATTCCAGCAAAACGACCTCTCTCAGCCTGTGACCTCAATGGAAAGTAGGGACAATAGGACCTGTTGTTAAACTAGATGATCCAAGGGAAACGCTTGGCACTGTGTCTGACACTAATAAATGCTCAGCTTGTTATTAGCCATCATCGAGGAAGTCTTGGGTCTCAAAAGGAGTTAATGGAGAGCTACACATGTATGTTGTCCTTGCTCCTGCAGGGAGAGTGAGAGAAACTGAAACCACACGGGCTCGCCAGCTCCTGGGGACTGAGCCAGGAGCCAGGAGCCATTTTGAAGGAAGGTGAGACAGTCTTTCCCTGTGATACCAGTTGTCTACTACCATGGAACAAATCAACTCAAATGGGCTGAACAACAATTTTTGTTCACCCATGACTCTGCGGGTCAGGAATTTGGGTCAGGCTCAGCAGGGCAGTTCTGCTGGTCTTGCCTGGGTCTGCCGGTGGGTCGGCTGGGATGAGGGGGTCTCGAACATCTTCACCCATGTGTATGGTGGTTGGTGGGGCTCTTCATGGTCTCTCTCATCCCCTGGGAGGCTGTCTTGGCCTCCTCACAAGGTGGCAGTGTTCCAAGAAGGCAAGAGCAGAAGCCGCAAAGCCTCTTGGAAGCGTAGACTTGACTGTTGCCCTTCTACAACCTGCCTTTGCAGGTTCAGAATGGGGTAAACGGGCTTTTGGTGGGCACCACAGCCATGTGTGGCTGCAGGGGGTTGTGCATACAGGGATGCGAGAAATGCTTGTGTCCATTTTTGCAAATAATCTACCAAAGTCCACCTCTGGCCATAATCCATCACATCCCTTCTCCATAAAAGACACTTATCGCCCAAAGGCTCATCCCATTGGCTTGAAGTCTGAGATGTAGGCATTAAAGATAGGGCCAGATCTGGATGAGGCCCCTGTGGTGCGTCATACAAAATGCCACTGTGTATAATTTGAGGGTAGAATGGTGCAGATTTCTGTAAACTAAAAATACAAGTTCCCTACACCGTTCTGCCCTCTAACGTACTATGGCGGGAGAGGCCAGACAGCCCTAGAGATGTCCTCACTCAGAAAGGGGAAAACAGGCACAGCACAGTAGCAAGCTCTTGACAATTCTGAGACGCAGCTGGACTCAAAGTTTCAGGCCCCTCTACTGTAAGGGCAGGAATTTTCCCCATTAGGACCCAGTCTTACTCCCTGGGAGTAGTTGCCTAGTTCATTGTTCCTCCTGACTCTTGGATCTCTCCCGTCTGGGCTCTTGGCTCTACCTTCTCAGATGTTGCTTCCTTTCCTGCAAGAATGGTCCAGGCTCTCAGCAGAGCAGTGTCCTCAGCTTGCTTCTTGCCTAGAAGCTTGGGGGACCCAGACGCCTCTGTCCCTTTTAGTCTGATAGAGTCTGCCTCCTCTAACAATGGTGTGGCTTTCTGGAATAATCAGCCAGCAGTCTGCTCCAGTAGATAGACCCCTCTTCCCTTTGGACAGTGAGTCAAGCGGCTGTAGGGAAATGCCTCTACGATTTGGAGTGTTCTTTTTGTCTGCTGAGTTTTCTGAGGCATAATAGAAGGTATTTAAGCTACACCTTTGGTTTCATCTTTTCCTGAAGGCATTTCTGGGACTCTTCCCAAATGGAGGGACTTGGTGAAAATTGATTTTATCTGGCAATCAGGCCCATAAACAGGCCTTCTCGATTCCCTCGAATTGCTGCTTGCAGACTGAATGGGTCCTCCTTGAGCTTATTTCTTTCTCCAAAAGAGAATCTCCTTACTCAGATCCCCAGCTCGTTAGGTACATTGTCTCCCTTCCCAGTTACCGCCGGCAACCTTTTGCCCGTTGCTCTGTCCCTCCATAAAGCAGGTAGCCTTTTCCCCGGTGTCTTCTGGCAGTTTCCCTACTGCGGTTCTGGTGCAGGCAATTCACTAACAGTTTCCTCATGACCTTTACTGCCTCTGCCCTCCACCGGGTCCTAGAGCCAATGCCCACTAATTTTAGGTTATTGGTGGCAGCGCCTCTCTTCTAGTACCAACTTCTGTTGCTGTTGTTTCTTGCTGCATAACAAAACTCCCCAAAATGCGGCGTTCAGTGATAACCAGCTATCTCCTCCCAGCTCTGTGGGCCAGCGGTGGAGGCTGGCCTGAGCTGCGCAGTTTTCTATCAGCCCCACTTGGGGTCATTCACATAACCGCGTCAGCTGGTGGGAGCCTGGGACTGGCCCGTCTTCTGGCCTCTTCACATGCCTGGGCCCCTGGGCCTCTCTCAACATGGTCTCTCGTCCTCCATGAGGCCAGTCTGGGCTTCTTCCCACGGGCAGCATCGTCAGAGGAGGGCAAGCGAGGGAAATTTAGGGCACCTCCTGGCCTAGGCCCAGAAGTCAGACAACATCATTTCTGCTCCATTTTGTTTGGTCAAAGCAAGTCACGAGGCTGGCCCAGATTCAAGGGGCAGGGGACATTCACTTCATGGCTCAATGGGAGGTTGACGAAGTCCTGTTACAAAGGGGTGTGTATGTAGGCAGCAACCTCTTTGACCTCAGCCACAGCAACATCTTCCTAGGAACATCGCCAAAGGCAAGGGAAGCAAGGGCAAAAATGAACTATTGGGATTTCATCAAGATCAAAAGCTTTTGCACAGCAAAGGAAATAGTTAGCAAAACCAAAAGACAACTGACAGAATGGGAGAAGATATTTGCAAATGACATATCAGATAAAGGGCTAGTGTCCAAATTCTATAAAGAGCTTAGCAAACTCAACACCCAAAGAACAAATAATCCAATCAAGAAATGGGCAGAAGACATGAACAGACATTTCTGCAAAGAAGACATCCAGATGGCCAACAGACACATAAAAAGTGCTCCACATCACTCGGCGTCAGGGAAATACAAATCAAAACCACAATGAGATATCACCTCACACCAGTCAGAATGGCTAAAATTAACAAGTCAGGAAATGACAGATGCTGGCGAGGATGCGGAGAAAGGGGAACCCTCCTACACTGTTGGTGGGAATGCAAGCTGGTACAACCACTCTGGAAAACAGCATGGAGTTTCCTCAAAATGTTGAAAATAGAACTACCCTATGACCCAGCAATTGCACTACTGGGTATTTACCCTAAAGATACAAACGTAGTGATCCGAAGGGGCACGTGTACCCGAATGTTTATAGCAGCAATGTCTACAATAGCCAAACTATGAAAAGAACCTAGATGTCCATCCACTGGATAAAGAAGATGTGGTATATATACACAATGGAATATTATGCAGCCATCAAAAGAAATGAAATCTTGCCATTTGTGACGACATGGATAGAACTAGAGGGTATCATGCTTAGTGAAGTAAGTCAATCGGAGAAAGACAACTATCATATGATCTCCCTGATATGAGGAAATGGAGATGCAACATGGGGGGTTAAGTGGGTAGGAGAAGAGTAAATGAAACAAGATGGGATTGGGAGGGAGACAAACCATAAGTGACTCTTAATCTCACAAACAAACTGAGGGTTGCTGGGAGGAGGGGGGGTGGGAAAGGGGGGTGGGGTTATGGACATTGGGGAAGGTATGTGCTATGGTGAGTGCTGTGAAGTGTGTAAACCTGGCGATTCATAGACCTGTACCCCTGGGGATAAAAATATATTATATGTTTACTAAAAAAAAAAAGGGGGGTGTGTATGACAGGATGGGGGAAAAATCTCAGCCATTTTTGTAAGCCATCGATCATAATCATGGTGTTGAACATAAAGTTTCTGTCCCATCTGTCCATCTGTCCCCATCTGTCCCTTCCCAATTCTACATGTCACATAAAATATTCTTCCTCCTATTTCTTTCTTTTAAAATATTTTATTTATTTATTAATTTGACAGAGAGAGAGATCACAAGCAGGCAGAAAGGCAGGCAGAGAGAGAAAGAGGAGGAAGCAGGCTCCCCGCTGAGCAGAGAGCCCGATGTGGGACTCGATCCCAGGACCCTGAAAACACGACACTAGCCGAAGGAGGAGGCCCAACCCACTGAGCCACCCAGGAGCCCCCTTCCGCCTCATATTTCTTAATCTGTACACCATTATCTGAGCTTTCTCCACCTCACTTCCTTAGTCAATCCCTCATAGGTTGCCTGGCTTAAAAGTACTCAGGCATCAACTTAAAACCAAAAGTCCTCTGTGTCTCTTCCCATTCTACACCTTTCTCATGAAAAGCCAATAAAAAGGTGAGGCCTCGCTGTAGTAAATTCTCTCAGGTGCTCCCGCCTATTTTTCCTAAGAGTCTACACACACAAGTCACTGTTTAACTTCCTGGGTATTATATTTTACAGTCTTGATGTCTTAGTCATTTCCAGCATCCTGGGAATAAAGTTGGAAGTAGGTAAGAATTATTATCCCCAACATACTGCCGCGTCTGTGGCTTAGTTAGAAACGAACCCAGCCATCCCTGACTCCCCACTGCCTCTCCTATTTGAGTCAGAATGTGGATAAAATGTTGTATTCAGATGTTGCTTCCACATTTCATGGTTATTCTGACAATTACAAAATTGCTCAGTCGACCAATTGTTAGTGAACGTGGTTTACATCGTGAAGCTATTTTCTGAAGGCATCAGAATAAATTAGTCATGATGATTCAATCGATTTGTAAGAAAATCCTCTTTCCTAAGGATGAAATGATTTCAAACCTTTAGAAATCAGCTGGGAAGTTTGGGGCTTTATAAAGGAATAACAGAATAAGGAAAACGTCCCATAATACATTCTGCTATTTTGCAATTTTCCACTTAGAAAAAAGAAAAAAAGAAGAAAAGAAACCCCTAACCACTTTCTACCCTCAATAACAATGCTGAGTTTTTCCGTGCCCCCTGAATGTCCTTGCTCCACTGCTTTTTGTGATCCAAATGTCTGTTTACTTTCAGAAGAAACATGCAAAAGGAAACACTGAAGGGCACCTCTTTCAACATTGACCTTCACAAATGTTTTGGCTCATTCAATTCAGCTTCTCTTTTTAAGAACTGACTGGGCACCCACCCTGTAATGGGCCACAGAGAAGGCAACAGGCATGAGAACAACGAAGAAGTTGCCCTTGTACGTCACTGAGACACACTCCCTCACACAACTGTGCAAACAGCTTGCTTCCCCGCAGGCGGGAGTCAGAGTCTCCCTTTTCCCAGGCTGCTGTACCGTGTGTCCGGGCGTGCCGGTGTGATGGTGAAAGCTTGGACTCAGGAGTCTGACTGCCTGGATTTGAACCTGTGATTATGACTTACTGGCTGTGTTACTTTGGGCAAGTTGCCTAACCTTCCTGTGTCTCAGTTTCTCCCTCTGTGGAATGGGAATAAT